GGCAGCAAATCCCTCCTGGCTGACTGGCTAAAGCTCGCTCTCATTCTCGGTTTTTCCCCAAGTCCAGCCCTGGCTTCAGTGGGTTGGGACACTGGTGCACACACCCAGCTCCCACCCTCGGGAGCCAGGCGGTGGAGAGGGGGTCACCCAAGGTGGGGGTCATGGTTCTGAGGCTGGGCTGAAGATCAGGCCTTTGGCTCTGCCCCAAGGCCCCAGTGGGGTGTTGTCTGCAGCTGGTGAGTTTCCTCCTCCCAGACAGTGAGTGTCCCTCTGGGACTTGGAGAGGACAAGGAACTATCCTGACTGTGGGCAGCCCACGGGGTTCCCAGGCCCTGCCCGACCTCACACCAACCTCCTTCTCCACTTTGCACCCCCACGCTGTGCAAGGTTAGAGGTGGGGGCAAGGAGAGGAGCTATGTGTCAGACTTTCTGAGCCTTTCTAGAGCAGATGCCCAGCCTTTTTTGTCTATCCCCAATGATGGGCTCATAGTAAGGGGCCCTAACCTAAGTAAGACTCCCCAGTCTGATGGAGGAGACATAACCCCATCCCAGAAGAGCCTCCAGTCTTATGAAGGAGACATAGCCCTTGCCCTGGGAGACTGTCCCCAGCCACAGCCGTCTGATAGGGGACCCCTGGCCTTTGCTGCCCCTGGTGGTATTTGTGCACACAGGGTAGTGAGGAGCTTGCCTGGACCTGAAGAAGGAAGAGCACTGGACTAGGAATCAGGATTACTGCTGGGCTTTGACACTGGGACTACCACTGACTTGTAAAAGCTACCCAACCTCTCTGGACCTCAGTTCTTCATCTGTAAAATGGAACTTGGATCTGACTTCTAAGGTTCTGTTCAGCTTTAACATCTGAATTTATTGTCCAGCCGCAGGAGTGGTTGTCATATTGTGCCTCCAGAGAATGCAGTGATATCACAACAGGGTCTCAAAAGCTTAGCTTTATGTGGAATGGCTCCTGAGGGATGGGTGGCAGGGGTAGGACCTGGCATCCAGAAATTCTCACAGGCCCTACCTGTCTAGACTTGTACATTCCCCACTCATCCACTCCAGAGACATCTATTGAGCACCTGCTACATGCCCACTGCTAGGCTGGGTGCCACATCCTCTGCATTTTGAGTACTTGAGGGCCTCCTGTAAGAGCCTCGAAGAGGGTTGGGCTACTTGCCCTAGCAGAATAACCTCTCTCTTGACCTGAAAAGTCCATACCTCTGGTCACTAAACAGATTGGCTTCTTGATAGATGGGTGAGAAGTGTGTGCTATTCATGTCCTGGGGCAGTGGAGGCAACTCTCATTTGCCTTTTTGGGCCATGGGCCAAGCTCTGGGTGGGATGCTTTCATGTTATTTCATCTAATCCTTAATATTACCCCTATTTTTAAAATGAGGAACTGAGGCCCAGAAGGGCAAAATAGCATATTCCAGGGTCTGACAATAGGTGATTATTCCAAAGGCCTTTGCAGTCCACAATTGCACTTCTGAGTGCTGGACAAGCAGCCTACTGACAAGGAGCCTGAGGGTAAGGAAAGGCACTGGTTGCAGTTGTGAGGTCCACACAGTTTTCCTCCAAAGCCTCAGAGAAGGGGCCAACTTTGGGCACTTAGTCACAGCTGGGGGCCTGAGTAAACCAACTGGCAACTGGTTGAAATAATCTCTGAACTGAAAGGGACTTAAGGGTCATCTCATCCCATCCTGTGAGTCATGATGGAGTCTCCTCTACAATGCCTGCTTGAAGTGGTCATCCCTTGGTTACCTTCAATGTGGGGCTTCAGATGGTTAGAGCTCACCTTCACACTGAACTAGAACCTACCTCCTTGCAGCTCCCACCTACTTTTGATTTGAGTTTTAAAGACAAGGAAAATAACTTTTCCAGCCTCACACAAGCAGGGAAGTAGCAGAACCCAAGTTTACACCTAGTTGGGCCTGTAGAGGTCCACAGGTTGCCCTCTCTCTGGCAGCCCTCCAGTGAGACTGGTTTCTCTTCCCACAGACCCCATCCAGAAACAGTGTGTCCTCACAAGACTGGAGCCAGCCCAGGGATGTGCCTGGAACTTGGCTCCCACTTCTCTCCTCCTACAACTCAGGAAAACCCTTGGCAATTAGCTCTGTGAGCAATTCTGGCCTGAGCGTGTAATCTAAACAAATTCCTTCCAACACCTTAGAGTCTTAATAACACAGCTGGTTTACCATGAGCTCCCAGAAACACAATTAGGCTGAGTCAGTATTCATGTCCTGTCCTGGAAAATAATTTTCCTTCTTGGTTGAGGAGTTATTACCATCAGACTCTGACTCCTCTTCTCTTGTGCATGGTGGGTAGATTAGCTGGGGTGGGGGTGGGGGGACAAGGTAGGTGTTGGAGGGAAAAGGGCTGTAGTGAGAGGTCTCTGAAACTCCCACCCCTTTCGCTCTAGCCTACAGTGTATTCCAAAAGAGAGCCGCCACAGAATTCTAGAAAGTGCTCAGGCCTGGAGCCCAGGGCTGATTCTGTCACTTTCTATTAGGTCTAAGTCACATCATGGAATTTTGGATTTATTTCCTCCCTTTTTAGTATTATAGATAGGGACAAAAAGCCCAAAGAAATGAGGTGACTTTCCCAAGGTCACCCCCTGAAGGAGCTGGCACTAGATCCCTAAGTGTCTGGATTCCCTATCTGGGCCCTTTGCCCTGTCTCCACCATGACCAGATTTACCCTGGGTCCCAAGGGGAATGACAGGTGACTCCTGCCAGGCTCATCCACCAATTTCAGAATTATAGGCAAGGAGGAGTGCCAGGTTTTAGGACAGATAAAATGCCCTATTTACACATTAGGCCACAAACACATGCAACTCATTAGCTGTGACCGGGGAGCAAACAGTAATGCAAGATGGGTTAGGTTTCTAGAAGCTGAACCCATATTGGCCATGAAATATTAGTAAGGAGGTCTCACCCTCCCCCTTTCAGGAGCCTGGGTTCTGTCTGGGTGCTGCTGTGATGCCTGAGAGTCTCCACAGGGGCAGGGTAATGCGGCCCTGGAAGTTGTGTGCCAGGGCTGAGCTGGCTGTGACCTAGAAAAGGGTAAGGCTTGGAGTTGAACCCAGCGGACTTCCTGGAGGAGGCGAGGCGCAGCTGGGTGGAACAAAAGGAGGGAGGGGTTTTCTTGCTGGAAGGAGAGACTGAGTGGGGGTTCAGACTCGGCTGGAAGCACACTTCCTCTCCACGTCCCTACCCCGGCCTAGCTTTCTCTGGTCCCTGTCCTTCCCTGCCGGGTCTGGGGGCGCTCGGGACAGTGACAGCGCCCCGGCCCTCGAGGCCAAGCACGGTGGGGTGCGCGGGCGGTTGAGCACCCTCCCCCGTGTCGTCTGCGGGGTGCGTGCGCCCCGCGGGGTGCTCCCGCAGCCCTTACAAGGAATTTGGCGGAGCTCTGGGCGGCCCCGCCCGCCGGGCTCACCGGCCCCTCCTCCCCTGCTCGGGCCGCGCGGCGGGAACAGAGCCCGCTCACACCG